GCCTTAGTTCGTCCGTGGTTTGCAGATAAAGTCTTGACTTTAAGTAGACGCAGTGAAAAAATTCTGGCGGCATCAAATCGGCCAATGCAGTGATCAGTCAAAGTCCCATTTTTTTGATATCCAGCGATTAGAGAACGATGGCTTCAAATCGATTGCGGAACGGCCTGCATATGTTGACCTGCTATCTTGGTAAAACCAAAAGTGCTGGATACCATTTTCATTAACAATCGTTATCAAAGCCCAATACCGCACCTAATTGACAATTGTTATGAATAAAATAATCCCATATTAATGACAAATAATTACCATTTATAAACGCATAATATTCCTAGCTTCAAGATTTCAAAGAACATTGGGATGAAAAATAATGGAATCGTACCCTGATAATAGCAGAGATCAACTAGTGCTTTACTCTAAAATTTCTCACAGCTTTTAAGTTTCAGCGTACTTTAACCCGATTCATAAAAATCGGTGAAGCCGGTTAATCAGTTAAAAAATCGTTGATTAATCTGAGTTCAGATCTATTTAAACAAATATGTCAAAGTTTTTGTTGTTTACCCACATCTGCTATCACAATCACACTACGTCATTGGAATCAGTCAAGAAATGTAACAGCAATTTATATTCAGTAATTCTAAGTAGTAAAACAATCTAACAAAGTTCCTTTAAAAATCCCGCAATACTTCATGGCAAGGAACTTAAACTATTGTTAATTTATTCCTATTCAATTATAATAATTCTTCTACTTTAAATAGACTTTATATTGTAGTATATAGGTTGGAAAGATTAAATATCCGCATAATGCAGATGTTCTTGTAACATCTTTTAAACTGGTCTATAGCGTAGATATTTCGATTTTATGTAAAATAAATATTAAAAAAATATGATATAAATGTAATTAATCGTATACATACTAGATTATTTCATAGCTGAAACCAATCAAATTAAAAGACCAAGGTGACACAACTAATTTCTATAAGCTTATTTGTCTTGACCAACGGGGCAAAAATTAAGCGTCACAAAATTCAACCAACTTCTTCTTGGCCATTTGCTCCATACTGCGAGTGCTATGTTTAAATACAGGAACATATGTTTAGATGAATGTCTCTGATTTACCATTGCCATGAATTAGTTTAAAAACGCGTATCGCATATCGCACCTGATGTGCTTCTTCGGCTGCACTGCCTCAACAATTTCTAGCTACTTGAACACTATTTATAATTGCGGCGCTGTAATCATCCATTCGTATAATTGTCGATGCGTTAAGGTAATTGTACACCTTCATCCGACCAGATAGAAAGAACCAGTACAGCCTATCATCTTCAGCGGTGGTGTGCTTTATTCGATGTTGTGCTTCTATGAGCATTTAAAAGTTGGCAATATCGAATTGTGGATTCATATTAGAAATGTATTACCATTGTTTTGGCTGTGGTTATTGTTGGGTTGCGACTGTTGATTTGCATTCAAAATAAGAAGATACCATTCATGGTCTTGTACCGATTTGCTAGATTTGGTTTCATTGCAAAATAATACTTACTTAAATTACTATTTTGCTTAATTGTAATTGAAAACATTCTTTTCATTTAGTATTGTTCAATTTTAATGTTCAAAGAGGTTTTACTTTAAAAGGTATTAATAAAACTACTGTAATCTATAGTTATGAGAAATAACTATTTTCTTAAAACATAATTTATACATTATGTTTAGATATATTTATGTTCACAAAACTCTTTCAGTCATATAAATAAACTTCTCTATACTTATATGCACAAACGATATTACAAACCTGTATTATTTCATTTATTTTATAAAACATAAAATTGTATATATATTTATATAATACTACTTTGTGCTACTTTGTGATGTCACTCACAGACGCTTATGCCGCTTCAAACCTAATGATCTTTTGAGGCGTTTCAACCAGCAAGGAGATGACTAGTTCGTATCTATATGCTCACCCTAGATAGACTTAGATAAACCTACTTGTAATAAAAAAAACCTCTTGTTAGTCAATATGACTAGTTGTTGTAAATTTAAACTCTTCATTTTGTTTAAATATAAATAAAAAAAAATAAAAAAAAAAAAAAAAATTATATTAATAAAAAATGAAATAATATAAACAAAATACAAATTTTATAGTTTTTTTTTTTTTTTTTTTGGAGGAAATATAAAGTCTGATTGTCGACGATTTTATAATACACCGTCCCATCTTTCATTATCTGAAGTTCTTTAAATCTGTCATATTCTATATTTTATACTAATTCTAGACAACATTTTTTTAATAAAATATGCCTAAAAGACAATAAAAAAAATAATTACCCTTTTGTTTAATAAAATTTATAGACCACATGCCCTTCAGTTTTTCTTATAAAACCGCCCTACCTGTCAATATTAGAAAATATTATTATTTCGACATTTTAATTTATATAAATTTCGGAATTGAAACTTTTTGTCTACCACCCATCGATTGAATTTCACTGGCTAAGTAAAGAAAACTATCTATTAACTTATAAAGTAACATTAAGATTTGCTTATTAGGATTTCAACTGGGCTAGTTTTTCGAAAATAGCCAAGAAAAATTTTAGGAGCTTAAAAAAAAAATGTTTTAAAAAAAAAATTCGAACTTGTAGTGAAACCGTAACCGAATAGTAAAAAGCAGATTTCGAACTTAATGTAGGTACACGCAGTATTTTCTTCTCTCCATAGTAAAGCTTTTTTACCCTTGCTAGGTAGTCACCTTGTCGTGGTGTAGGGGCTTATTGTGGACTGAAGCATGTCATATGGAAGTCATGACATGATGATTTTTCATGTGACATGATTCAGCACACAAACTAAGAACTGCCGCCAACGCACAGGTTGAAAGTAGGTATCTACGATTCCTGATCAGTCGTTGAGGCTAGCTAGTGGACTTTAATGGACACTTGCTAATTGGTCAGTCCTATAGGAAAGTGCGGCTATCTATCAGACCAATGACTCGCCTTCAGTACGGTCATGTCTCTGCTGTTTGTGGGTCGCCGATAGTCGGGCGGGGGAGAAGGAAACTCCCTAGGGCAGGGTCTGTACATATTCTAGGCTCCCAAGGCTAGGTCTTGATAGACTGGAATATGAACATACCTATTGCCCCAAACAAACCCCCTAAACTCACAGTGGAACAGCTATGCTGGTGAACTTGCTTGACAGGGTAGAGTCAAGCTTAATAGCGAACTCCGTACCAGGTCTGGCAAACCTACGGTTTCAATTTGTCCTTCCCATGGGGGCGCTCATGGGTGACCAACCTGCACGGTTTATTTAAACTTACTTTGTATGGAACAAAATAACATTTTCAATTCTATGGACTGCACACCTTTAAATGTGCAAAATATGGTTTTACAAAGCCAAAACTTATCACTGAACGAGGGGGCACCTGGTACCATCGTCAGTGAACAAATGGACCACGACTTGTTGGAGAGGGCACCTGGTCCTCTACCCGACAAGCCGGAGGAAATGGACATTCCACTTAGCCAAGAGTCGGCTGGGATGTCTATCTCCTCGGAACAGGAGAGAGATCTTCTGGAGCCTGGTCTAACTAAAAAGACTCAAACGAGGGTGAAGCTATCCGGCGCTGGACGCAAAAGGTTAAAGGCTTTACTTGCCAAGGGCATCCCGCTGGAAACAGCAAGGTCCTTGGCAGTAAAGCCGGCCACTGCGACTAACGAAGGGCAGGCAACACCAAAAAGATCCCGATCGGACAGCTCTACACCAACATCAAGCTCAAAACCGACAAAGCGGATTGCACTACAGGGCAAGAAAGTTGATAATAAATCAACAGTGCCTGCAACTGCTTTGCCGATTTTCAGTAGGATGAAGGAAGTAGAGACCTCACACGGGGGCAAACCTGGTCCCAGTAAAGAGGTGGCGACGGTATCTGTGGGGCAGGCTAAATACAGTACTTCTTCCGAAGACCATTGTTCAAAGCCTACCCTAGCAGAGACTGTTCGCTCTAAGAAGATCGGTATACTACCGCATAATTTCCCAGAGGGCATTTGGTCCAATGAGGAAATTGGCAAGGTGCAGAAATGCATCCTCGACAAGATGTACGAAACTTGTCGAGCTCCTGGGGTGAAGCCTCATTTCGCCGGTTACAGTCTAAAGCCCGGATGGTTTACCATTAATTGTCTGGACGACGAGACTGTAACTTGGTCTAAAGAGACAATCCCAGCCTTGAAGCCGTGGGAAGGAGCCCAGCTGAAGGTAGTGGACGAGGCAGAAGTGCCAAAGTCTGAAATCTATGTTGGCTACTTCCCAGGCTCAGCTTCCTGGCAAAGCGACCGTATTCTGGGACAAATTGAGTGCCAAAATTCGGGCATGCGTGTCAGGGACTGGCGGGTACTCCACAGGCTCAATAAGGGCGATATCGTCGAGATGGCGATTGCTCTGGATCCTATGTCGTCCGAAATGGTCGGAAAGCTGGGCAATAAAGTCTTCTATGGACTTAGCAGTGCCGTGCTGAGACCAAGACATAAAGGAAACAGAGCAAAGGAAGTGGTTGAAGATGAGCGACCAACAACATCTGCGGCTTGTGCTCAGTCAAGCAACCAGAAGCCGAAAACGGGTCTCAATTCCGGGAGACCACCCTTGAGAGGGGGCAGAATCCGTGCCCAAGGCCGAAAACCTTCCGCTCTCTCTGGTCGTCTGAGGAAATGGGAAAGAAAAGACCCGGAGGCCGCGGAATTGCTGCGCGGTACAAAGGGCGGCAAGGTCCGCAAGGGCCAGTCTGGGATATAATGTCCCGGACTCCGCCACATCCGCAAAACTCTTGGAGGCAACTTCATTGCCTCCAAATCAACCTCCACCGGGCTATAGCAGCTTCATACAGGCTCAGTGCCCTGGTGGAACAACACTGTCTGGATTTTGTGGCCATCCAAGAACCATGGGCCACAAAGGGGCGCATAAACGGTCTACAGACAAAAACGTGTAAGTTAATCTATGATAATAATGTTGATCGTCCTAGAACGGCGATAATGATTAACAAAACCATTAAATCTCTTCCAATTACAGAGCTTATACAGCGTGATCTGGTGGCGGTACAGGCAGAAGTGCCTAGTACTAGGGGGACGAGAATAATAGTTTTTGCATCTCTGTACCTCCCTGGCGACGCAGAGGAAGCGGTGTCTCTCGAGCTCCAGCAGCTTACAGAATACTGCCGTATCCGAAACCTACAGTGGGTAATGTGCTGCGACGCCAACGCACACCATACAGTATGGGGAAGCACAGACATCAATACACGAGGTGAGTCACTTTTTGATTATATCACAACTAACAATTTAATGGTAGTTAATAAAGGTAACGAACCTACTTTTGTAAATGCGATAAGGGAAGAGGTATTAGATCTCACTTTAGCAAGTGCATTTATATCAAATAACATTTCAAATTGGAGGGTGTTAGAGGAGAACTCCTTATCAGATCACAAATATATACGCTTTGATTTGGAAGGGGAAGTTGAAGACACTTTCGAAATAAGAAATGTTAGGAAGGCCAACTGGTCTCTATATAACTTCTATTTAGAACAAAACATTAGTTGTCTTGGGAATAGGATTACTAATTGTCAGGAACTAAATCTTGAGGTTAACAAACTAGAAAATATTATTACAGGGGCTTTTGAAAATAGCTGCGAACTTATCAAAAAGAAACGTTCTAGGAAAGTCCCATGGTGGAATAGAGAACTAGATATTTTACGCAAAAAAGCCCGCCAGCTCCTTAATAGAGCCAAGTCCAATGGGGACTGGGCATCTTACAAGTGTGCCTTAACGGCTTACAATAGGGAATTGAGGAAATCAAAGAGGGAATCATGGAGGAGGCACTGCGAGGAGATTGAAACACTTCCTGCGGCTGCGAGACTCCAGAAATCTCTAAATAAAGACCACTCAAATAGCCTCTCTACATTAAAGAAGGCTGACGGAAGCTTTACGGTAAGTCTGGAAGAAACGGGACAGCTTTTGCTGGACACTCATTTTCCAGGCTGCGCCATGTATACTGAGACTACGGAAACCATCGAGGATACTCGTTTCTTATTGGTTACACGAAGGGATCTTTCACTGGCCCGTAAAATCTTTACAGTCAATAAAACTAAATGGGCCATTTCCACTTTCAGCCCGTTTAAATCACCTGGTATCGATAATATACAACCGTGCCTTCTTCAGAAAGGCGTTGATATATTAGCACCGATATTAACAAACTTATTTAGGATAAGTCTAGAATTAGGCGTAATACCTAAACATTGGACGAAGGCTAGGGTAGCTTTCATACCGAAAGCAGGCAAAAAGGCGGACCACACGCCAAAAGCTTTTCGGCCCATTAGCCTTACTTCTTTCCTGCTTAAAGCAATGGAGAAGATTCTAGATCAATAGATCAGGGAAGTCTATATTAAAGCTTCACCTCTACATATTGAACAGTATGCTTATCAGTCGGGCAAATCGACCGACACCGCTATACATAGTCTGACGAGTAAAATCGAGAAGGCTTTAGACGGTAAGGAAATAGCTCTCTGCACATCGGTTGACATTACAGGAGCTTTTGATAATGCAACATTCAGATCAATTGAGGCAGGAATGGTCAGGAAAGGAATACATAGACTGATCATAACATGGATTCTCAATATGCTGAAAAATAGGACGATAATCTTTGAAATGGGGACGAAGAGATTAACTGTCAAGTCAACCAAAGGATGTCCTCAAGGAGGCGTTCTTTCGCCACTCCTATGGCTATTGGTCATTGACGAACTCCTACAGTCTCTTGGTGACCTCGGATATGAAGTTCAGGGCTTTGCAGATGATCTAGTCATCATGGTTAGAGGCAAATTTGACTCCACCATATCCGATCGTATGCAACTAGCTCTTGATATCACTCAAAATTGGTGTCAAGAGAAAGGACTCTCGATTAATCCGAATAAAACAAATGTAGTACCCTTCACCAGAAGAAGGAAGATGAATCTAGGGACCTTAAAGTTAGGGGACACTGACTTAATACTATCTGAGGAAATGAAATATCTAGGAGTAATTCTAGATAAAACTCTTACTTGGAAAAACCATTTATCATATATAACTGGCAAAGCTCTAAGAGCAACTTATGCGTGCCAAAGACTGTATGGTAAAACATGGGGTCTGCGACCAAAAATGATGGCTTGGTCGTAAAAGACCGTAATAGTACCGATGATCACCTATGCTTCTTTGGCATGGTGGCCAAAGGTAAATCAGACGAAGGCTAAGATGACTCTCAATAAGATTCATCGAACAGCCTGTCTAAGCGTAACGGGAGCAATGAGAACGTGCCCCACAGAAGCCCTAGCAATGCTCACTGGACTCACCCCATTACACATTACAGTTAAAAGGACTGCGACCAGTGCTGCACTAAGGCTTCCTTATCTAGGTAATCTTAAAGAGGGCAATCTGACAGGACACGCAAAGATTCTAGATGAAATCTGGAATTCTCCGTGCCTTAAGGTCTTCGACAAGATGAATAGAAAATTAGCTTTCTCCAGGGAATTCGAAGTGGTCATTAGTGACCGATCAACTTGGAGAAATAATAAAATCAACTTAAAGCAGGGCTCTCAATTATGGTATACTGATGGGTCCAAAATGGATAATGGCAGTGCAGGAGCAGGAGTTATGGGACCAAACTTCCGTAAAGCAATCGCAATGGGAAAAACTGCTTCCATTTTTCAGGCAGAGGTCCATGCCTTAGAGCTTTGTGCAAGAGAATGCATACGTAGGGGCACCCGAGGTACCAACATATGCTTTCTATCAGACAGCCAAGCAGCTCTAAAATCTTTAGCAAAATCCTTATTCCAATCAAAGCTGGTTTGGGAATGCTTTCAACTTCTCAACACCCTAGCATCGAGGAACTATGTTACTCTTATGTGGGTACCGGGACACGAGGGGCATGAGGGCAATGAAATAGCAGACATATTAGCAAAGAAGGGTGCATGTACTCCTTTCATTGGGCCAGAGCCCTTCTGCGGGGTAACAAATAGCTTCACAAACAACTTATTATGTGAACGGGAGAAACAGCATCTACTTAAACACTGGAGAGCCCAAACAGGCATGCGACAGTCAAAAAGATTAATTGATCCTGAACACATCAAAGTTGATGCTATCATCAACCTTAGCAGAAATGATATCAAAATCTACACTGAACTTCTTACAGGACACTGTAGACTTAATTACCACATGAAGATTATAGGTGCGGTAGAAAGTGATTCCTGTCGACTCTGTCATGAGGAGAAGGAAACATCGGAACATGTTCTATGCAACTGCCCAGCGGTGGCAAGACGTAGACTCGATTACCTCGGTAGCGGGATCCTGGTCCCAAATCAAATAGGTAAAATTAAGCCCACTGCAATTATAAGATTTATAAATAGTCTAAAATTGTCCTAGTTGGGCCTATAGGCGCACAATAGATCTTTTAGGTCGGGGTGCACAAATAGCCTATTTTTTAAATAAATAATAAATAAAA